ATGTAAATAAAAATAACAATTTCCTAAACCTTGGTCACAATATCGGCACTTGTCTTCATATAAATCGATGCATTGATTTCTGTTCGAATGATTCTGCTCAAAGGTTTGTCGTTTTTTCTCCCTAATCTCTGCCGTTTGCATAAAACGAAACGAGAAAACGTAAAAATGTAATTGCAATACACTCTTAGACATTATTGTAAAGAAATATTTAATGAATAGTCCATTCCGGGTGTGAGTGAATTTTAAATATTTAATTGCGGGAAATTAGTTCTAAATTTGAGGCTTTCGTGACTGCAAGGATTCATACTCTTTGTTTTTTTGTCGGTAAAGTCACGTAGGTAAAATAAAACTTAAAATAAAGACTCCTCACTCCGTGGGTGTGGCCAATGAGTGGCACAGAGACGCGGAGAGACACACAGAGACCCACAGAGATACATAGAGATACATAGAGACCCACAGAGATACACAGAGACCCACAGAGATACATAGAGACCCACAGAGATACATAGAGACCCACAGAGACCCACAGAGACCCACAGAGATACACAGAGACCCACAGAGATACATAGAGACCCACAGAGACACACAGAGACCCACAGAGATACACAGAGACCCACAGAGACCCACAGAGATACACAGAGACCCACTGAGATACATAGAGGCCCACAGAGATACATAGAGACCCGCAGAGATACATAGAGAGACATAGAGATACATAGAGACCCACAGAGATACATAGAGAAATAGAGACACGTAGAGACACATAGAGACCCATAGAGATACATAGAGAGACCCACAGAGATACACAGAGACCCACAGAGATACATAGAGACCCACGGAGATACATAGAGAAACAGAGACACGTAGAGACACATAGAGACCCATAGAGATACATAGAGATACATAGAGACCCACAGAGATACACAGAGACCCACAGAGATACATAGAGACCCACAGAGATACATAGAGAAACAGAGACACGTAGAGACACATAGAGCCCCATAGAGATACATAGAGATACACAGAGACCCACAGAGATACACAGAGACCCACAGAGATACATAGAGACCCACAGAGATACATAGAGAAACAGAGACACGTAGAGACACATAGAGACCCATAGAGATACATAGAGATACATAGAGACCCACAGAGATACATAGAGATACATAGAGACCCATAAAGATACATAGAGATACATAGAGACCCACAGAGATACACAGAGACCCACAGAGATACATAGAGACCCACAGAGATACATAGAGACCCACAGAGATACATAGAGACACATAGAGATACATAGAGACCCATAGAGACACAGAGATACATAGAGATACATAGAGACCCACAGAGATACATAGAGACACAGGGACACGTAGAGACACATAGAGACCCATAGAGATACATAGAGACCTACAGAGATACATAGAGACCCGCAGAGATACATAAAGACCGGCAGAGATACTTAGAGACACACAGAGATACATAGAGACCCAAAGAGACACAGAGACACGTAGAGACACATAGAGATACATAGAGACCCATAGAGACATAGAGACACGTAGAAACACATAGAGACCCATAGAGATACATGTAGATACATAGAGACCCACAGAGATACATAGAGACCCACAGACATACATAGAGACCCATAGAGATACATAGAGACCCACAGATACATAGAGACACACAGAGATACATAGAGACCCGCAGAGATAAATAGAGACACATAGAGATACATAGAGACACATAGAGGCACAGAGACACGTAGAGACCCATAGAGATACATAGAGATCCATAGAGACCCAGAGACATGTAGAAACACATAGAGACCCATAGAGATACATAGAGATACATAGGGACCCACAGAGACACATAGAGACCCACAGAGATACATAGAGACCCACAGAGATACATAGAGACACACAGAGATACATAAATACCCCATAGAGATACATAGAGACCCACAGATATACATAGAGACCCACAGAGATACATAAAAACGCACAGAGATACATAGATACCCCATAGAGATACATAGAGATCCACAGAGACACATAGAGACCCGCAGAGATACATAGAGACCCACAGAGATACATAGAGACCCGCAGCAATACATAGAGACACAGAGACACATAGAGACCCATAGAGATACATAGAGAACCACAGAGATACGTAGAGACCCACAGAGATACATAGAGACCCATAGAGATACATAGAGACCCATAGAGATACATAGAGATACACAGACCCAGATAGATACACAGACCCATATAGATACATAGAGAACCATAGAGATACATTGAGACTCTACACAGAGATACATAGAGACACATAGAGATACACGCAAACCCATAGAGACACATAGAGACACAGAGACCCGCAGAGATACATAGAGACTCTACACAGAGATACATAGAGACCCACAGAGATACGTAGAGACACACAGACCGATCGAGATACATAGAGACCCATAGAGATACATAGACACCCATATAGTTACTTAAAGACGCAGAGACATGTCGAGACACGTGCAATACATAGAGACCCACAGAGATACATAGAGACTCTACACAGAGGTACATAGAGACCCATAGAGATACATAGAGACCCACAGTTATACACATAGACTCACAGAGATACATAGAGACGCGTAGACCCATAGAGACACATAGAGACCCATAGAGATACATAGATACATAGAGATACATAGATACCCACAGAGATACATAGAGACTCTACACAGAGGTACATAGAGATACATAGAGATCTTGAGTAGTCAACTTCCATTGTTCCCACGATGTCCATCTTGAGTAGACAACTTCCATTGTTCCCACGATGTCCATCTTGAGTAGACAACTTCCATTGTTCTCACGCTGTAGATCTTGAGTAGACAACTTCCATTGTTCCCACGATGTCCATCTTGAGTAGACAACTTCCATTGTTCCGACGATGTCCATCTTGAGTAGACAACTTCCATTGTTCCCACGCTGTCCATCTTGAGTAGACAACTTCCATTGTTCTCACGATGTCCATCTTGGGTAGACAACTTCCATTGTTCCCACGATGTAGATCTTGAGTAGTCAACTTCCATTGTTCCCATGCTGTAGATCTTGAGTAGACAACTTCCATTGTTCCCACGATGTCCATCTTGAGTAGACAACTTCCATTGTTCCCACGATGTCCATCTTGAGTAGTCAACTTCCATTGTTCCTACGATGTCCATCTTGAGTAGTCAACTTCCATTGTTCTCACGCTGTAGATCTTGAGTAGACAACTTCCATTGTTCCCACGATGTCTATCTTGAGTAGACAACTTCCATTGTTCCCACGATGTCCATCTTGAGTAGACAACTTCCATTGTTCCCACGCTGTAGATCTTGAGTAGACAACTTCCATTGTTCCCACGATGTCCATCTTGAGTAGACAACTTCCATTGTCCTCACGATGTCCATCTTGAGTAGACAACTTCCATTGTTCTCACGATGTCCATCTTGAGTAGTCAACTTCCATTGTTCCTACGATGTCCATCTTGAGTAGTCAACTTCCATTGTTCCTACGATGTCCATCTTGAGTAGACAACTTCCATTGTTCTCACGATGTCCATCTTGAGTAGACAACTTCCATTGTTCTCACGATGTCCATCTTGAGTAGACAACTTCCATTGTTCCCACGATGTCCATCTTGAGTAGACAACTTCCATTGTTCCCACGATGTCCATCTTGAGTAGACAACTTCCATTGTTCCCACGATGTCCATCTTGAGTAGACAACTTCCATTGTTCCCACGATGTCCATCTCGAGTAGACAACTTCCATTGTTCCCACGATGTCCATCTTGAGTAGACAACTTCCATTGTTCCCACGATGTCCATCTTGAGTAGACAACTTCCATTGTTCCCACGATATCCATCTTGAGTAGACAACTTCCATTGTTCCTACGATGTCCATCTTGAGTAGTCAACTTCCATTGTTCTCACGCTGTAGATCTTGAGTAGACAACTTCCATTGTTCCCACGATGTCTATCTTGAGTAGACAACTTCCATTGTTCCCACGATGTCCATCTTGAGTAGACAACTTCCATTGTTCCCACGCTGTAGATCTTGAGTAGACAACTTCCATTGTTCCCACGATGTCCATCTTGAGTAGACAACTTCCATTGTCCTCACGATGTCCATCTTGAGTAGACAACTTCCATTGTTCTCACGATGTCCATCTTGAGTAGTCAACTTCCATTGTTCCTACGATGTCCATCTTGAGTAGACAACTTCCATTGTTCTCACGATGTCCATCTTGAGTAGTCAACTTCCATTGTTCCTACGATGTCCATCTTGAGTAGTCAACTTCCATTGTTCCTACGATGTCCATCTTGAGTAGACAACTTCCATTGTTCTCACGATGTCCATCTTGAGTAGACAACTTCCATTGTTCTCACGATGTCCATCTTGAGTAGACAACTTCCATTGTTCCCACGATGTCCATCTTGAGTAGACAACTTCCATTGTTCCCACGATGTCCATCTTGAGTAGACAACTTCCATTGTTCCCACGATGTCCATCTTGAGTAGACAACTTCCATTGTTCCCACGATGTAGATCTTGAGTAGACAACTTCCATTGTTCCCACGATGTCCATCTTGAGTAGACAACTTCCATTGTTCCCACGATGTCCATCTTGAGTAGACAACTTCCATTGTTCGCACGATGTCCATCTTGAGTAGACAACTTCCATTGTTCCCACGATGTTAACCACCTCGCCTGGTGTGCAGGAGGTAGTGGGTCCGACCCCAACCCTGACGACGCCTGCTGCTGTATATTTGGAGTCTGTCTCTCTCTAATCATCATCATCATCACCACGGTGGCTCGGAGATGTTGACTACCTCGCCAAGTGCACATGAGGTCGTGGATATCGTCATCGCCTCTAGAGGCTCCGCCTACCGAACTCTTTGCCCCGCCCCCCACCCCTACACCTCCCACCACCCTCACCCCTCCCCTCCCCCCCCACCCCCACCACCACTTCCCCTCCCTCACCCCCTCCCCTCATCTTCAAGATGGCGGACTTCGACACCATCTATGAGGATGACGAGGAGGAGGAGGAGGATGATGAGGAACGTCTGGCTGAGGAGAATCTCATCCGATACGCGCCCGATCCCGTGGTCGTACGCGGCTCCGGCCACATCACCGTGTAAGTGGACGACGACGAGCGATGGCGAGCGGCGGAGAGCCGCCGAGAGCCGGGGCCTTTGAAGTAGGCCGCAACTGCCGCCTCGGCCCTCGCCTGACTTCCGGAGCCTCTCGTCGGGCAGGCGGAGCAGGCGAGGCCGAGGCTGCTGGGGAGGGTTAGGCCGCCGCTCTTTCTCTCTGTGTTATCGTTTCGTTATTTAGTTTTATTAGTTATCGCGCGGTATTTTATATTGTAGTTTGTCACGGCGGCGGCGGGAGAGTTTGTGTGCGAGGTTGTTTAAATTTGAGAAGTGGGGTGGTGTGTGTTGGCGTTGTGAGGAGGTTGTTTTGGTTAACGTGTGTTGTGTGTGTTGGTTAACGTGTGTTGTGTGTGTGGTTAATGTGTGTTGTGTGTGTGGTTAACGTGTGTTGTGTGTGTGTTGGTTAACGTGTGTTGTGTGTGTGTGTGTTGGTTAACGTGTGTTGTGTGTGTGTGTGGTTAACGTGTGTTGTGTGTGTGTTGGTTAACGTGTGTTGTGTGTGTGTGTGTGTGTTGGTTAACGTGTGTTGTGTGTGTGTTGGTTAATGTGTGTTGTGTGTGTGGTTAATGTGTGTTGTGTGTTGGTTAACGTGTGTTGTGTGTGTTGTGTGTTGGTTAACGTGTGTTGTGTGTGTTGTGTGTGGTTAACGTGTGTTGTGTGTGTGTTGGTTAACGTCTGTTGTGTTTGTGTTGGTTAACGTGTGGTGTGTGTGTGTTGGTTAACGTGTGTTGTGTGTGTGTGTTGGTTAACGTGTGTTGTGTGTGTGTTGGTTAACGTGTGTTGTGTGTGTGTGTTGGTTAACGTGTGTTGTGTGTGTGTTGGTTAACGTGTGTTGTGTGTGTGTTGAGTGTGTGTGTGTGTTGGTTAACGTGTGTTGTGTGTGTGTTGAGTGTGTGTGTGTGTTGGTTAACGTGTGTTGAGTGTGTTGTGTGTTGGTTAACGTGTGTTGTGTGTGTTGTGTGTTGGTTAACGTGTGTTGTGTTGTGTTGTGTGTTGGTTAACGTGTGTTGTGTGTGGTTAACGTGTGTTGTGTGTGTGTTGGTTAACGTGTGTTGTGTGTGTGTTGGTTAACGTGTGTTGTGTGTGTGTGTGTTGGTTAACGTGTGTGTGTTGGTTAACGTGTGTTGTGTGTGTGTTGGTTAACGTGTGTTGTGTGTGTTGGTTAACGTGTGTTGTGTGTGTGTTGGTTAACGTGTGTTGTGTGTGTGTTGGTTAACGTGTGTTGTGTGTGTGTGTTGGTTAACGTGTGTTGTGTGTGTTGTGTGTGGTTAACGTGTGTTGTGTGTGTTGGTTGACGTGTGTGTTGTGTGTGGTTAACGTGTGTTGTGTGTTGTGTGTGGTTAACGTGTGTTGTGTGTGTGTGTTGGTTAACGTGTGTTGTGTGTGTGTGTTGGTTAACGTGTGTTGTGTGTGTGTGTGTGTTGGTTAACGTGTGTTGTGTGTGTGTGGTTAACGTGTGGTGTGTGTGTGTGTTGGTTAACGTGTGTTGTGTGTGTGTGTGTTGGTGAACGTGTGTTGTGTGTGTGTTGGTTAACGTGTGTTGTGTGTGTGTGTGTTGGTTAACGTGTGTGTGTTGGTTAACGTGTGTTGTGTGTGTGTTGGTTAACGTGTGTTGTGTGTGTGTTGGTTAACGTGTGTTGTGTGTGTGTGTTGGTTAACGTGTGTTGTGTGTGTGTGTTGGTTAACGTGTGTTGTGTGTGTGTTGGTTAACGTGTGTTGTGTGTGTGTTGGTTAACGTGTGTTGTGTGTGTGTTGGTTAACGTGTGTTGTGTGTGTGTTGGTTAACGTGTGTTGTGTGTGTGTTGGTTAACGTGTGTTGTGTGTGTGTGTGTTGGTTAACGTGTGTGTGTTGGTTAACGTGTGTTGTGTGTGTGTGTTGGTTAACGTGTGTTGTGTGTGTTGGTTAACGTGTGTTGTGTGTGTGTGTTGGTTAACGTGTGTTGTGTGTGTGTGGTTAACGTGTGGTGTGTGTGTGTTGGTTAACGTGTGGTGTGTGTGTGTTGGTTAACGTGTGGTGTGTGTGTGTTGGTTAACGTGTGTTGTGTGTGTGTGTTGGTGAACGTGTGTTGTGTGTGTGTGTGTTGGTTAACGTGTGTTGTGTTGTGTGTGTGTTGGTTAACGTGTGTTGTGTGTGTGTGTTGGTTAACGTGTGTTGTGTGTGTGTGTTGGTTAACGTGTGTTGTGTGTGTTGTGTGTTGGTTGACGTGTGTGTTGTGTGTGGTTAACGTGTGTTGTGTGTGGTTAACGTGTGTTGTGTGTGTGTTGGTTAACGTGTGTTGTGTGTGTGTGTTGGTTAACGTGTGTTGTGTGTGTGTGTTGGTTAACGTGTGTTGTGTGTGTTGGTTAACGTGTGTTGTGTGTGTGTTGGTTAACGTGTGTTGTGTGTGTGTTGGTTAACGTGTGTTGTGTGTGTGTTGGTTAACGTGTGTTGTGTGTGTTGGTTAACGTGTGTTGTGTGTGTGTGTTGGTTAACGTGTGTTTGTGTGTGTGTGTGTTGGTTAACGTGTGTTTGTGTGTGTGTGTTGGTTAACGTGTGTTGTGTGTGTTGGTTAACGTGTGTTGTGTGTGTGTGTGTGTTGGTTAACGTGTGTTGTATGTGTTGGTTAACGTGTGTTGTGTGTGTTGGTTAACGTGTGTTGTGTGTGTGTTGGTTAACGTGTGTTGTGTGTGTGTGTTGGTTAACGTGTGTTGTGTGTGTGTTGGTTAACGTGTGTTGTGTGTGTGTGTTGGTTAACGTGTGTGTGTTGGTTAACGTGTGTGTGTGTGTTGGTTAACGTGTGTTGTGTGTGTGTGGTTAACGTGTGTTGTGTGTGTGTTGGTTAACGTGTGTTGTGTGTGTGTTGGTTAACGTGTGTTGTGTGTGTGTGTTGGTTAACGTGTGTTTTGTGTGTGTGTGTTGGTTAACGTGTGTTGTGTGTGTGTTGGTTAACGTGTGTTGTGTGTGTGTGTGTTGGTTAACGTATGTTGTGTGTGTGTTGGTTAACGTATGTTGTGTGTGTGTTGGTTAACGTGTGTTGTGTGTGTGTGTTGGTTAACGTGTGTTGTGTGTGTGTGTGTTGGTTAACGTGTGTTGTGTGTGTGTGTTGGTTAACGTGTGTTGTGTGTGTGTTGGTTAACGTGTGTTGTGTGTGTGTGTATGTTGGTTAACGTGCGTTGTGTGTGTGTGTTGGTTGACGTGTGTGTTGATTAACGTGTGTTGTGTGTGTGGTTAACGTGTGTTGTGTATGTGTTGGTTAACGTGTGTTGTGTGTGTGTGGTTGACGTGTGTTGTGTGTGTGTTGTGTGTGTGTGGTTAACGTGTGTTGTGTGTGTGTTGGTTGACGTGTGTTGTGTGTGTGTTGGTTAACGTGTGTTGTGTGTGTGTGTTGGTTAACGTGTGTTGTGTGTGTGTGTTGGTTAACGTGTGTTGTGTGTGTGTGGTTAACGTGTGTTGTGTGTTTGGTTAACGTGTGTTGTGTGTGTGGTTAACGTGTGTTGTGTGTGTGGTTAACGTGTGTTGGTTAACGTGTGTTGTGTGTATGGTTAACGTGTGTTGTGTGTATGTGTGGTTAACGTGTGTTGTGTGTATGTGTGGTTAACGTATGTGTTGTGTGTGTATGTGTGGTTAACGTGTGTGTTGTGTGTGTGTGTGTGGTTAACGTGTGTTGTGTGTGTGTGTTGGTTAACGTGTGTTGTGTGTTGGTTAACGTGTGTTGTGTGTGTGTTGGTTAACGTGTGTTGTGTGTGTGTTGGTTAACGTGTGTTGTGTGTGTGTTGGTTAACGTGTGTTGTGTGTGTGTGTTGGTTAACGTGTGTTGTGTGTGTTGGTTAACGTGTATGTTGTATGTGTTGGTTAACGTGTGTGTTGTATGTGTTGGTTAACGTGTGTGTTGTATGTGTTGGTTAACGTGTGTTGTGTGTGTGTGTGTTGGTTAACGTGTGTTGTGTGTGTTGGTTAACGTGTGTTGTGTGTGTGTGTTGGTTAACGTGTGTTGTGTGTGTGTTGGTTAACGTGTGTTGTGTGTGTGTGTTGGTTAACGTGTGTTGTGTGTGTGTGTTGGTTAACGTGTGTTGTGTGTGTTGGTTAACGTGTGTGTTGTATGTGTTGTTTAACGTGTTTTGTGTGTGTGTGTTGGTTAACGTGTGTTGTGTGTGTGTGTGTGGTTAACGTGTGTTGTGTGTGTGTGTTGGTTAACGTGTGTTGTGTGTGTGTGTTGGTTAACGTGTGTTGTGTGTGTGTTGGTTAACGTGTGTTGTGTGTGTGTGTTGGTTAACGTGTGTTGTGTATGTGTTGTGTGTGTGTGTTGGTTAACGTGTGTTGTGTGTGTGTGTTGGTTAACGTGTGTTGTGTGTGTGTTGGTTAACGTGTGTTGTGTGTGTATGTTGGTTAACGTGTGTTGTGTGTGTGTGGTTAACGTGTGTTGTGTGTGTGTGTTGGTTAACGTGTGTTGTGTGTGTGTTGGTTAACGTGTGTTGTGTGTGTGTGTTGGTTAACGTGTGTTGTGTGTGTGTGTTGGTTAACGTGTGTTGTGTGTGTGTGGTTAACGCGTGTTGTGTGTGTGTGTGGTTAACGCGTGTTGTGTGTGTGTTGGTTAACGTGTGTTGTGTGTGTGTGTTGGTTAACGTGTGTTGTGTGTGTGTGTTGGTTAACGTGTGTTGTGTGTTGTGTGTTGGTTAACGTGTGTTGTGTGTGTTGGTTAACGTGTGTTGTGTGTGTGTTGGTTAATGTGTGTTGTGTGTGTGTGTTGGTTAATGCGTGTTGTGTGTGTGTGTGGTTAACGCGTGTTGTGTGTGTGTGTTGGTTAACGTGTGTTGTGTGTGTTGTGTGTGTTGGTTAACGTGTGTGTTGTGTGTGTGTGGTTGACGTGTTGTGTTGTGTGTGGTTAACGTGTGTGTTGTGTGTGTGTGTGTGGTTGACGTGTGTTGTGTGTGTGTGTTGGTTAACGTGTGTTGTGTGTGTGTGGTTAACGTGTGTTGTGTGTGTGTGTATGTTGGTTAACGT